GCTTGCCTTGCATGCATGAGGCCCTGGGTTCAATTCCTCAGCACCACATAAGCAAAAAGAAAAAAGCCAGAAGTGGCGCTGTGGCTCAAGTGATAGAGTGCTAACCTTGAGCTGAAGAGCTACAGTGCTAGCCTTGAGCTGAAGAGCTGAGGGACAGCGCCCAGGCCCAGAGTTCAGGCCCCACAACCGGACCCCAAAAAAATTAAAATAAAAATGAAGCTAAGTTCCCAATCTGGGAAAATAACAAAATAGCTCTCTGGGAAAAACCCTTTTTGTAGGACATTGTCATAACTTAGGGTCACTTATCCACTTATTATGACCATTCCTTCTCTTAGGTTCCAGAGGTGGTTTATGAGCTAGGAAATTCCTTGCATGGGGAGAACTTTTCAAAAGTGCATACTCAGGTGAAAACCCCAAACAGGAGATGGTCTCTTACTTTTCTTCATAATTTGCAGTTGGTCAGAGGGGGAAGTTTGGTCCACAGCAGAGCTGAACAGTCTAAACAGAACTCTCATTTTTGTGTGTCTCTCACTGCTAGACGCACAACCAAGAGGGACATGGCCTGAAACTTAAAGGAACAAATACTTTGAGGGTGCCTCTGGAGACTGGACCCCCAGACGAACTTCCATTTTTAGCAAGCTGCCTTAAGTCACTTGTAGGAAAGATTGGTTCTAGAAGTCAGGAGGCCCACATTCCAATTCCAGCTCTGCCAAAAACGTGCTGTATAATGTTGGGCCTCTATTTCCTCATCTGTAGCAAATACCATGAGACCCACAATCAAACCCTGTGATTTTCCAGTTGTTTTCCAATGTCTGCTTCCTCCAAGAGAGAAGCTGTGTGCCTCTCCACTGTTATGCAACTGAGCAGGTGACTTTGTGAGGCATTTTCAGGCACTGCCCTTGCTGGGGGAGTGGGTGCTTCCTGGGAAACGTGCACAGTAATACTTGTTCACAATTTGCCTGCACTGGTCACACTTGACTGTGCAGCACCACTGAAATTTGCAATTACAGCTCCTCACGGCCTCAGTTCGCCTCTCTTCCACCTGCAGCCCACACTCAGTGCACAGGCGCCCACAGCTGCATTGCTCCCATCTGGATGTATTACGGCTGTTCTGTAGGCACTCGCGACCCTCTGTGCCATAGATACCCAGGCTGGCATTGCGGGTACAGTAGTCTGGAGATTCCTCTAAAAAGATCAGCTCCTCCTCTGCGCTAGGAAGGAAGGCTTCAGCCGGAGCCCAGCCACTCTCAGCGCTATTCCCAGCCCTTAGCTGTCGCTTATCCATCTCAATTTTCAGTGCCTGCTCATACTTGGTCTTCAGGTAGTTTCCCATCTCCCGGAAGTCTGCTAGCTGCAGCCAACAGGTCTGGATGCTGCAGCTCCCTGAGATGCCGTGACATTTGCAAGTCCTTTTCATGGTGGCTCTCACTGCCTTCAGAGAGAGAGAGAGAAACACAAAAGAATGAATGGCTCTTGGTAAGGAAGGCCAATGGCCAACAATTAAACGGGCTATTTTACAGCTGGGCTTTTTGTTTTTTCTTTTTTCCAGGGCTGAGGACCGAACCCAGGGCCTTGCCCACGCTAGGCGGGCGCACTTCTGCTGAGCTAAATCCCCAGCCCCACAGCTGTGCTTTTTTTGCTTAGATGAAACATAGGATTATTGAAGAAGTTCATAAAAAATACTTCAATGAGACCGTTCAGGGGTTTAAAGGCCTGACAATGGGGATTTTAAGTCAGTGTCTCGGCCTGACTAGGAGAGAGCTAGGACAACGTTCAAAGTGAACTCTCTCATCACTTGTAGAGCAGGTTTGCTTATTTGTTTCTCACTTTGTGTGTGTGGTTGGGTTTTTTTTTTTTTATTGTTTGTTTGGTTTGGTTTTTGTTGTTGTTTGGGACTAAGAATTTAGTTTAGGGTTTCATGCTTATTAGGCAAGCACTTTACCATTTGAAACCTGTCCCAGTCAGGATTTTTTGTGTGCTGGTAGTGGGGCTTGAACTCAAAGGCTGGCACTATTTTTAGGCTTCTCTCCCCAACTCCAAGGCTGTTGCTCTACCACTTGAAACATACTCCTGGTTTTTTGCTGATTAACTGGAGATAAGAATCTTGGTTTTGTCTGCCTGGGCTGACTTTGGACCTCAAACCTCATATCTCAGCCTGGTGAGTAGCTAGAATTATAGGAATGAGCCACTTGTGCCCAGCTTCTTTCTATTATTATTATTTTATTCAATTGTGGGCTTGACCTCAGGGCCTGGTGCTGTCCCTGAGCATTTTGGCTCAATGCCAACACTCTACCACTTTGAGCCACAGTGCCACTTCTGGTTTCTGTTGGTTAATTGGAGATAAGAGTCTCTTGGACTTTCCTGCTTGGGTTGGCTTTGAACCATGATCCTCAGATCTCAGCCTCTTGTGTACATAGGATTACTGGCATGAGCCACCAGCACTAGGCTCCATTTTTTTTTTTTTTTT